GTACTTTGGCCCATTCCCAATTATTGAAAGGATTGGCAAGGTTGCTTACAAGTTGTTGTTACCTGAGACTGCCAAGATTCATCCAGTCTTTCACATCTCACAGCTTAAACTATGTAAGGGACATCATTCTCAATCTTATGTTCCATTACCTATCACTTCCAATGATGCACAACCAGTACTACAACCAGCTGCTATTCTTCAGTCTCGGGTGATTATCAAGGGAACTAAGCATGTTCAACAGCACTTAATCCAATGGGAGGGATTGGATAACACTCAAACAACTTGGGAGGATCACACTGCATTAGAATCTGCATTTCCAGAATTCAACCTTGGGGACAAGGTTGTTCTTAATGGGGGAGGAAATGTAATGAAGCCAATTACAGAAAAGACAAATGAGGAGAAGGTGGGAACAGCTAGTAGTGGTCACGTGGCAGTGGATACAAATGATGAGAAAATAAGAAAAAGCTCGCGACCCAAAATAACCAACATACGCTTAGAAGATTATGTGTGGCAAGGCAAATAGCATAAAGATCAGGTTGATTGGAGAGAGAAAACATGAATGGGAATTGTTGGCAGAACCTTCCTCTCTTTTGGGGTTCATTTCATTGCATTTCTGTTAGTCGTGGTGCTCTGTAATTACTGCTATACTGATAGTAGTATTCGTTTTCTTGTAAGAAATCCCTATGCAGTAAATAATACCATTACAGAGTTTATTCCATTCTACATATTACTCTTTATCACTTGCATTTGTTTTCTCTCTTTCTTGTGCCTCTTTCTACTTCAAAGGAATAGCTGAATGTATGATAGTAGCATCTACAAGTGGAGCACAAAACATCTAACCCATAAGAATTTGAAGCCATTCTTGAGTGTCCACAATCATGTTTTCTCATGACACTCAGGGGATTCTTAGGTCTCACTAGGTTCTATAGACACTTTGTCCATCATTACGCCACACTTGTCATTCCATTAATCGATTTATTGGACAATTCATCAATGTTTACACGGACTATAGAAGCCTCATAAACTTTTACAAATCTCAAAAATACTATTACACCTCTCCCTATTCTAATTCCTAAAGTTTTCTCAAAACCTTGTTGAAACTAACGCTTGCCATAGGTTTAGTTTTATCTCAACAAGGCCATCTGATTGCCTCTTACAACAAAAGATTGTGCCTAAGAATGCAAGCAGAATCTGTTTATGAGAGAGTTGTATATGGTTACTTCGGTTATTATGCATTGGCAACAATAGTTGAGAAGACAACATTTTCAAATAGTCATAGACCAACAAAGTTTGATAAACATAATGACTTAGTCCATATATACACTAGAATAACAAAAATGGGTGACAAAATTAATGGGCTATAGTTTTGAGATCTCATACTAACCTAGGAAATACAATCAAGTGGTTGATGCTTTATCTCGCTTAGAACTTTGCTCAAAACCATTGGTTTTACTCTTAACATCCATATCATCACTAGTTCCCAACATCATCTACAAGCTTAAGCATTATTTTACATAAGAAACAAAAGGAGAATCTTTGGTAAAAAATTATACCAATACAAAAGACAACTACAATTTCCATTTTACTAATGGCTCAATGTATTTTTAGAATTAGATATTTTTCTATGCAACTCGTGATTTTGGTATTTCTACTTTGTAGGAACCCCATGCTTCACCAAAAGTAGGTCACTCAAGGCTAAAACCTACCCTTTCTCGAGTTACATCATTACTAATTCCAAAACAAGCTTAGGAAGACGTTAGTATGGATTTCATTACACACTTACCTGATTCACTTGGACACTCTAATATCTAGATCATTTGTGACCACCTCACAAGGTACGTGCACTTCATGTGACTCTTCCTATTTCACTGTAGTGAAACTCGCTCAACAGTTCTTGATCAACATTTGGAAGCTTTGCAAAGTGTAGAAGTCCATCACCTTGGACTCTGACCCCATCTTTGTCAATTATTCAATAGCAAGAAGGGTCTTAGTTAAATTATTCAATAGCGTACCATCTTTAGACGAACAAATAGACCGAGGTTGTTAATCATAGACAAAAAATTCTCTTGCACAAACAAGTCATTAGAAATGTGAAGAAAACTCTAAAACACACAAGACAAAGTATGTGCGCTCAAGCAAACAAAAAGTGAACATACATTATCTTTGAAACTAGGTCTTGGGTCTTTCTAAAACTTCAACCATATCGCTAAAAAGCACTTGCCTTTAGCCTGTGATGCCCAATTTATAAAATGTTAAGCATAATATTAAATATATATATATATATATGTATATCTTATACATTATTAACACAACTATATTATTAATAATATTTTACATAAAAATAAAGAAGATTTTATGAACTTGTTTACGTATCGTTAGCTTATATTTACATCACGTACATTTCTAAATTATCGACAATAACATACTTATTTACAAATTATTTTTTTTTCACACTCTTACTACAATATTTACATGTTAGGTTGATACAGGTTTACTATTAGATTAACGTGATCGGTTAGGGATATAACCGAGATCATGACTGGATGTGACGCAAAAATTTGCTCAATGGAGCCACCACCAATATTTTATTTTAAGGGAAAAATATTGGAAAACCTTTTAAAAATAATCTTTTAAAATAAAAATTGGGTTTGGAAGTCAATTACGTGTAAGGAAGGTATTAGCACCCTACGACGCCTGTAAAAACAATACCTATAATTAATTGCGCAAAATTATATAAATTTATAAATATTTATTTTACCCTAAAAATATATGATTTACATTGATATTAAAGGTAAAAACGCTACTCAATTAACATCATAAATCGTTGTATACGAGAAGATAATTTATATGTGAAATAAGTTCCTTTTTTTTTAAACTGTGAATAACCAAATTTATCCAGACCCACAAAAACGATGAAATGGATGTCTATTATGAAGAGAAGGAGCTCCCAAAGTATGGAGGCAACACCATATGACAACAAGGAAGCTTGAAGCCTAAATAATTTGGTTTTAGAAGCCCAGAACGGGCTGTTCCCAAACCGTAACGGGGCGTTCCCATGTCGAAACGGGTCGTTCCTAAACTAAAATGGGTCGTTTCAAGTTACTAAAAAAGACCTAAAACCCTAATTAAGAACGGTCGTTCCAAAACTGGAACGACCGTTCCAAGTCACTAAAAAAGCCTAAAACCCTAATCTAGAATGGGCCGTTCCGATTTTAGAACGGGTCATTCTAGGTTCAAATTTAGCTCATTAGTAGATGATCCAGAACATGTCGTTTCAAATCCAGAATGGACCGTTCTGGTTAAGTCTGACTTCTATAAATAGTAGACTCGGGCACTATTCTAGGGGCAAAAAAAATTCATCGAGATCTCTTTATTACTCGAAATTTCTCTCTCTTCCTCTCTCTTTGTATTTCTTGAGAGTTGCGAGTTATTTGGGTAGTGTGAAAGGTAGCCAAAAAGCACCTAATAATTTTCATCTTTGAAGATTCAACACGATAACAAGTTCAAGCCTCCCATTTGGTATCATATTCTTTTCTTGACTTTTATTTATTTATTTATTTTTATTTTTATTTTTGAAAATAATTGTATCTACAGAGTAGATGTGATTTGTTGTCTTCAAGATCATTGTTTAGAAAGTGTTTAATATACATTAAATAACAACGTCAATTGAATAACATTTTTATCTTTGACGTTATTTAATTTTGAGGGTTGAATGATTAGTCATTTACTAACTTAAATTCTTATACAAGTTTTCCTTCTTTTTTAAAGAATAAAAGAGGTTTATTTCACATATAAATTACCTTTTTGTATGCAACAATTTATGATGTTAATTAAGTAGTGTTTCTACCTTTAATATCAATGTAAATCATATATTTTTAGGGTAAACTAAATATTCATGAATTTATATAATTTTGCGCAATTAATTAAAGGTACTATTTTTACCGGCGTCGTAGGGTGCTAATATCTTCCCTCCCTACACGTAATTGACTTTCGAACCTAATTTTGATTTTAAAAGATCATTTTTAAAGGGTTTTCCAATGTTTTTCCCTTAAAATAAAATATTGGTGGCGACTCCATTGAAAAACAATGTTTGCGTCATCTCGTTGTGATCTCGGTTACAACAGGGTAGATAAAAAGTAACTACTATTTGGCCATCTATAATAATAAGGTTTTGTTGGGTTGGTGAAAACACAAATGGCGATACTTCTATGCCTTGAAAGGTAACGACATTTGCAGTGACGTCCATACTTCAATTGGTACCCGAAAAAATGGCAGTGATAATGAAAGTGAAAGGGCCTGGTATGGTTGGCAGTGTTGATATTTTATGTTTTGTAACTCTGTTTTAATTGGCTAATAAGTATTGCTTTACTGCATAGACGGCTACAATTTTTGAATTATTTCTCTTTATGATGAATTATGTAATTGTTACCTTTAAAAGGGCTCCTCCTATTTTGAATAAAATAACCACCTTTTCATATTCTCTTTTCTCGTTTTATTATCAATGGTATCAAGAGCTAGGTTAAGGAAAAGGTAGTAGTCCAAGAGTGTAAAAAAAAAACACAGAAGAGAACAATTATCCCACCAATATGACTTTTGAAAATTTTGTGCAGCTAGCCATTCCAGGTTTTGATGGTCACTACGACCATTGCAGCATGCTGATGGAGAATCTCTTGAGATTCGAGGAGTTTTGGCATGTTGTTGCAGATGGTGTGGCAACACCAGGGGATGGTGCTACTCTTACAGATGCCCAATAAAAGGAGCTTGATGTGATGAAATTGAAAGACTTGAAAGCCAAGAATTATTTGTTTCAAGCCATTGATCGATCTATCCTTGAAACTATTCTTTGTAAAGATACTTCCAAGGATATTTGGGATTCAATGAAAAAAAAATATCAAGGCTCCTCGAGAGTTAAATGTGCTCAATTTCAAGCTTTGAGAAGAGACTTTGAAGTCCTTCAAATGAAGGATGGTGAGTCTGTAACTGACTATTGTTCAAGGACCATGGGTATTGCTAACAATATGCGACTTCATGGTGAAAAAATGAATGATATAGCCATTGTTGAAAAAATCCTACACTCATTAACACCAAAGTTTGATTATGTGGTGTGCTCAATTGAAGAGTCAAATGATATTGATGATCTCTCCCTAGATGAGCTTCAAAGTTCTTTGTTGGTCCATGAACAAAAGATGAACAGAAGTTCAACAATGGAGGAACAAGCATTGAAGGCTTCTACCAATACTCCTTCATACAACTCTAGAGGAAGGGGTAGAGGTAGAGGTAAAGGACGAGGGCGTGGAGATCGTGGAAATAGAGATTTCAACAAGAACTCTAGAGGCAACAATGACCAATTTCAAGGCAATGATAGAGGGAAAGATCATAACAAATCAAAGGTAGAATGCTTTAGATGTCATAAATTTGGTCATTATGCTTCTGAATGTTATATTACACTGCCTAATCTTCAAGAAAATGGTGAAAGTTCAAATTTTATCGAGGAGAAAGAAGTAGAAACCCTGTTGATGGCAGTTAAAGATGCAAAAGACAACGAGGCAGAAATTTGGTATGTTGATACTGGCTGTAGTAATCACATGAGTGGAAGTAAGTCCTCTTTTTCATATTTAAATGAAAATTTTCATTCTACCGTGAGCTTTGGTGATTGCTCTAATGTGAAAGTGATGGAAAAGGTGATATAAAAATACAAACCAAGAATGGTTTTATAGAAACAATTTCTAATGTGCTTTATATCCCTGACTTGAAAAGCAACTTGTTAAGTGCTGGTCAATTACAAGAAAAAGGTTATGAAATTTTTATTTGCAAAGGTTCTTGTGAAATTATTGATCTTGTTCGAGGTGCTATTGCAGTTGTAAACATGAGTTCAAACAGGTTATTCCCGTTGAAAATTGAAAGCATTCAATCTGGTTTGTTGGCTAAAGCTACTGATTCTACTTAGTTGTGGCATTATCGTTATGGCCATTTGAGCTTTAGTGGACTAAAGACCCTTGACCAAAAAGACATGGTGACAGGCCTTCCACAAATTACTGTTCCTTTTCATGTATGTGAAGAATGTGTTGTTAGCAAATAACATCGTTCTCAATTCCCTAATGGAAAATCATGGAGAGCAAAGAGTGTTTTGGAATTGGTCCATTATGATATTTGCGGTCCAATAAATCCTTCTTCTAATGGAGGTAAGAAAATACTTAATTACTTTCACTAATGATTTTTCTAGAAAAACTTGGGTCTATTTTTTGCAGGAAAAATCTGAAGCTCTCTCTTCATTCAAAAGCTTCAAAGCTCGAGTTGAAACTAAATCGGGAAAGACTATTAAGTCTCTTCGAACAGACCGTCGTGGAGAGTATTGTTCAGATGAATTTTCTATTTTTTGTGAAAAACACGAAATCTGGAAGGAGTTAACAACAACATATACACCACAACAAAATGGTGTCTCAGAGAGGAAAAATAGAACCATTCTCAACATGGTACGGAGCCTCTTGACTAAGAGTGGTGTTTCAAAAGATTTTTGGCTTGAAGCTGTTAACTGGAGCGTGCACATTCTAATAGAAGTCCCACATTTGTTGTGAAGAATATGACACCAGAGGAGGCATGGAGCGGGAGAAAACCAACTATGGACCATTTCAGGATTTTTGGGTGCATTACTTATGCTCATATTCCTGACAAGAAAAGATCAAAGCTTGATGACAAAGGTGAAAAATGTATCTTTCTTGGTGTTATTGATTAATCAAAAGCATATAAACTGTATAATCCTATCACTAAAAAGATCATTATTAGTCGTGATGTTGTTTTCAATGAAGAAAGATTTTGGGAAAATAACATAGATGAAACAAAGCAAATACTTGCAAACTTTGATGGAGATAATGAAGATGAAGAGTCACAGCTAATGGAGCTAGAAGAACAACAAATTCCAACAGCTACGTCTGAAGTAGAGAGACCTCAACGTGCAAGGAGAATGCTTACATGGATGTCTGATTTTGAGGTAATAGGTATTGAAGACCCTATTACTCATTTTGCTTTGTTTTCAGAAAGTGACCCTACAACCTTTGAAAGTGCTGTTAAAGAAGAAAAATGGAGAATAGCGATGGATGATGAAATTGATTCCATTAAAAGAAATGATACTTGGGAGCTGTGTGATCTTCCAGATGGGCACAATACCATAGGAGTGAATGGGTGTTCAAAACAAAACTGAAAGAAAATGGTGAAATGGATAAGTATAAGGCACGTTTGGTGGCTAAAGGCTACAAGCAAAAATATGGGGTTGCTTACACAAAAGTTTTTTCACCAGTTGCAAGGAATGACACAATCAGGTTGGTAGTTGCATTAGCAGTACAAAATGCTTGGCCTATTTTTCAACTAGATGTAAAATCAGCATTTTTACATGGTTACTTGGAGGAACAGGTATTTATTGATCAACCCCCTGGCTATGTGAAAATAGGAAATGAGAACAAAGTTTACAAACTGAAAAAGGCTCTTTATGGGCTAAAACAAGCCCCTTGAGCTTGGTATAGTCGCATTGAGTCTTATTTCATAAAAGCTGGTTTTACAAAGTGTCCTTATGAGCATTCATTGTTTGTTAAATCTGGAGAAAAAGGAAAATTGCTTATAGCATGTTTGTACGTTGATGATCTCATGTTTACTAGAAATTGTACTGTCATGTTTAATGAATTCAAGAAGTCTATGATGAATGAATTTGAAATGACTGATCTTGGCATGATGCACTACTTTCATGGCATAGAAATAGTGCAATCAGAAAGTGGAATTTTTCTTTCTCAAAAGAAATATGTGGGAGAAATTCTAAAAAGATTTCATATGCATGATTGCAATTCTGCAAACACTCTAGTTGAGTGTGGTTTTAAGTTATGCAAAGATCATGAAGGAAAAAAAATAAACCGTACACTTTACAAACAGATTTTGGGCAGCTTAATGTATCTAAACTACAACTAGACCAGATATAATGTATTCTGTAAGTTTGATTAGCAGGTACATGGAGAATCCTACAGAAATGCATTTACTTGCTGTTAAAAGAATCCTTCGTTACTTGCAAGGAACAAGAGAGTTTGGACTATTTTACAAGAAAGGTGAAAAGTTCAATCTATTGGGGTTCACTTATAGTAATTATGCAGGAGATCAAGATGATAGAAAGAGTACTTCGGGGTGTGTTTTCATGCTTGGCACAGGCGCTGTCTCTTGGCTCTCTAAAAACAACCTGTTGTTACTTTATCAAGCACAGAAGCAAAATTTGTTGCAGCAACTGCTTGTGCTTGTCAAGCCATATGGCTAAGGAGAATCCTTGAAGAGTTGAAATTCCAGCAACATGGCTCTACTAGGATATTTTGTGACAATAATTCAGCAATCAAACTTTCAAAGAATCCAGTACTATATGGAAGAAGCAAACACATTGATGTCAAGATTTATTTTCTAAGAGATCTGAGCAATGATGGAGTCATTAAATTGATTTATTGTCGGAGTGAAGATCAAGTTGCTGATATTTTCACCAAAGCACTCAAGAGAGAGTCATTCATGAAGCATAGAAGGTTTCTTGGAGTTTGCACGCTAAATTTTGTAAAGCCTTTAAACTAAATGTTAGCAAACATTAGTTTAAGGGAGGGTCTGTTGATATTTTATGTTTTGTAACTCAGTTTTAATTGGCTATAAGTATTGCTTTACTGCAATGATGATTACAATTTTTGAATTATTTCTCTTTATGATGAATTATGTAATTGTTACCTTTAAAAGGGCTCCTCCTATTTTGAATAAAATAACCACCATTTCATATTCTCTTTTCTCGTTTTATTATCAGGCAGATCCATCTATTTTCCACTATAATTAATTCAAATATTTTTTAAAATAATAAAGAAAATAAGGAGTGAGAACAATTATTCAATAAATATAAATAATTCAATAGAATGTATAGAGTTATTTATAACCAACATTAAATATAGAAATATATATATATATATATATATATATATAATTGTCCATGTGTCACTTGAATCGCTTGACCCATAATAACACTGTAATAAATAATATATATATATATATATATATATATATATTAGATTTTCATGGTATAATAAATTTGAATTTATTTTAGTAGTGACTAGTTAGGATAAATGAATATTATAATAATATCAACCAACAAATGGATATTTCACCTTAAGTCCTTACTCATTTAAATCCTCAAGGTCAAATTTCCAACTACAAATTAATTCAAACTTTATTCCTTATGGCCATAGAATAACATTTATCTTTATAATGTATGAAGAAATAGCAAGATGAGCTTAGGATATTTTAACAAAACTATATTTTAGTTAATATTAATATAAAAATAATTAAGCTAAATAAGTTTGATTATTTTTAATTATTTAAAATTTAATGTAATATAGTTTACGTAAATGGAATGTATTAAAGAATATTAATCAAGTAAATGATAGTGATAAATAACATAAACTAGTAACACTTTATTAATTATTTAAAGTAAAAAAAGTATCATAGATTAAGCAAGTAAATGAGGTTAGGGACACCTCACAAAGTAAATACACACACACACACACATATATATATATATATAACATAAAATAAATAAATATAATAGTATATAGAATTTAAAAAGATAAAGGTCTCCTTCCCCTTACCTTACCTTAAGAAAAAAAAATTACTGAGAGATATCCTAAGTCTGCGTTTATGTTTTTACTCTTTCTTTTTTTTTTTCTTCTGATTTCTCTCTCTCTCTCTACATTTTCTCCATTTTTCCCGTTTCCTCTCATGGTCCCTCCCTGTAGGCCTTTTATAGGCAAGTTAATTTAATTTTATTTTTCTTATATCTAGTTAGTGATTTAGTTAAAAATGTAACAAGAGTACATTTTTTTTTCTTTCAAATTTTTTTTCTTTCTTTTACCCATTCCTAATATATATTTATATGTATAAAAAAATTAATATAAATACTTATATTATTTAACAATTTTAAATATATATATATATATATATATATATCATAATAATTAAAATATTAATAAAATTGAATAGTAAATATTTCTGTGTTGAAAACATAAAAATCATATCTATATTTATTTATTTTAAATTTGGTAACTAAAACATTAAAATATATTATTTTAAGAATAAAATAATGATAAGAAAATTGATAATATTATATCAAAAGTTTCAGAATATTATAATTCTCCTCTACTTATTGAAATTTTGTCCTCAAAATTTTTATTGCTTAAAATAAATAAGGATAACTCTCCCTAATTTTTTCTTCCAATTCCCATGTAGCGTCTCTAATGTCTTTATTTTAAATGACATTTACCAATGAAATTTGTTTGCCTCTCAACTACTTGATTCTCCTGTCTACGATTTGTACATGTATTATTTCATATGTAAGGTTATCCTTTAATTATACTGTATCAGACATTATTACATGAAAAGAATCAGAAACATATTTTCTTAATTGAGATACATGAAAGACATTGTGAATGTTAGAAAGGAAGGAGGTAGAGAAATTTGGTAGGCAACAAGACCTATTTTTCTGAGAATTTGGTAAGGACCAAGAAATCGAGGTGTGAGTTTCTTTGATTTCATTACTATACCAATACCAGTTGTTAGTGTAACTTTCAAAAATACATGATTACCTTTCTGAAATTCAAAAGGTCGTCTTCTCTTATTAGTATAACTTTTCTATCTACAGTCATTCTCAATTTTTCCTGAATCATTTTGATTTTCTCCATGGTTTGTTGCACCAATTCAAGACCCAAGATTAAATTTTCTCCAGTTTCAAACCAATACAAAGGAGTTCTGTACTTTCTTCCATATAGATCTTCGTAGGGTGCCATACCTATGCTAGAATGGAAATTGTTGTTATAAGTGAATTCAATCAAAGGCAGATATTGGTCCCAACTACTAGAATCCTCTAGCACACAAGATTTCAATAAATCTTCTAAA